CTGCAGGCCCTGGCAAGGACACAGTGCCTGCTGGATGCCAGCAGGATGGTTCTTCCTCCATAAACTGCCCTGCTGAGACCAAAACACTGCCTGGGTCTGGCTCCCTGCGAGTGGCCGGGATGGGGGCACCCTGCACCAGTGCCCCCGGGCACAGGGTCCCTCTGCCCAGCCCCGAGCTCTCAGCCCTGCCCACCCCAGTGCTCCTGTGCTGGTGCCCGAGGTGGGGGGGGTGCTGGGAGGGAGCACGTCCACGGGGTCCAGTGTCCCCAGCTGCGAGGCCTGGGCACACGGTAAGACCCCAGCTCCAGGCTCTGCTTATTGCCCCCCCATTATTCCCCCAGAGACACCCGGGAGAGCCCCCCTGCAAGGCTGCAGCCCCCGGGTGCCCCCCAGTGCAAGGGTGCAGCATCTCCCACCGGCTGCAAGGGAGGGGGCTCACCATGCCCCCCTGCATCAAGTGCACCCAGCCCCAGCGTTACACCAGTGCCAAGGTGGTGCGATGCTGGGCGAGCGGCTGTGCCGTGCCAGCCTGCCTGTCCCCAGCTGCCACAAGAGGGCAGGGACGGGACGCCCTGCGGAGCTGGCACAGCCCAGGGGCAGGGAGCTGGCACCCCTGGCACCCCCAGCACCCCGCACCAACCCTGCCTATCCCGCTCCCCACCCTAATTCCCACGTAAGGTCCTTAGCATAATCCCCCCCAAAGAGACCAGCCTTTCCCCTCTAATTCCCCAGAGACCGGGCAGGACAGCACCCAGGGGGCTGCCCTGGGGGGCAGGGGCTCAGCCTGCCGCCCTGGGGGATTTGGGCTGCCCCAAGCAGGGCATGGAGACCCCCCCTGCCCGCCCCACCGAGCCCCAGCTGTGCCTGGCACCAGGGTGGGATGGGGTGCAGCGTTTGCCCCCACTGCTCATGGGATGAGCCACAACCACCGGGACGTGGGGATGAGCCACAACCACCAGGACGTGGGGCTGACCCACGCCGGCACCGGCACGCACCTGCCTGCCCGCGATGGAGCCGGGGCCCCGCAGCTGGATCAGTCCCCTGCACAGGCAGGCAGACCCTGCTGGCGGTCAGGGTCCGGCTCTGCCCGGTGACAGGGTTAAACCCTGACCTGGTGGCGCGGGTGGTACCTGGGAGGTGCTCGCTCCATTAATTCTGGCATGTGAGGAGAGCAGGACTGGGAAGAGATTAGATATTAACCCGGCCGGCGCAGCTCACCCAGCGGGCACCCATCCCTGTGGGCTTCCAGGGCCGGATCCCACCCCAGGGCCCTTTACCGGGGCTGGAGGGGCCACGGGGCAGGGGGACTCTGCCAGCAAGGGCAGTGTTTGGCAGGAGCTCCAGCCCCGCTTGTGGCAGGCCCGGGCCGCCGCCGGTCCCCCCCCTCCCCCAGCCAGTGCTTATTTACTTGGAGAGGGAGGTGGAAATGTGCTGACCGCGTCCGCCGGCGGCGAGGGGGGCTCTGGTCTGGACAGAACCGGCTCGGGTGGAAAACAGCTCCCCAGCCCCGGCCTGAGCAGCAGTGGCAGCAGGGAGGCAGCTGGGAGGACAAGCGGGGCCCCCCGGCCCCAGGTACGGCTCTTGCCTTCGCAAGGTGAGCCGCAGAGCCGGGGCTCAGTTGGCCGTGCCACCGTGCCAGCCGTGCTACCACACCAGCCGTGCCACCGTGCCAGCCACGCCAGCAGTGCCAGCCACGCCAGCCGCCCGGCCCTGCAGCTCCATAGGAAAGGTAAACCTGGAAAAAATGCGCCCGGCGTGCCGATGTTTTCGGAGTGAGCCAGCAGGGAAGCCTGGCCCAGGTCCCAGTGCCGTGCCAAGCCGCATCCCAGCCCCTTGCCGCAGCTGCTGTGCTGGAGAGACCGGCTCTGCCCGGTCCCACCACGGGGACTGTGGTCCCCAGCCCCCCTGGGGCACCAGGGAACCGGGACTGCGCTCTGCCCTCGCCAAAAGGGCTGCGCCAGGCACCAACCGCCCCGGCACGCAGCCTCAGGAGGGGACCAAGGGCAGCCAGTCCCTCGCAGCCCATGGTTGGTCCCTGCAAGGCAGCCAGCACATGGTGGCATCACACCCAACCTACCCTGCAGCCGCCTCCCTGGCAGGGTGTTTCTGTAGGACCTACAAAAACCCCAGGGGCGTGCAGCAAAGGCTGGAAAGCCGGGAGGGTCCCCACAGGAATGGGAGAGGAAATCACTCGCCGTGGAGGGGACACGAGGGCGAAAGCCATGCGGCTGCAGCGCAGCCTCGGCGGGACAGACGCCCGCCAGCGGCCCCACAGCGGGTGTGGGGGTCGCAGGGGGGGGCTCATGCTGAGTCAGCAGCTGGGAAACCCGCCGGCCCCGTGCGGCGGAAGGAAGCCGCCGGCAGGAAGCCACATGCAGTGGCAGAAAGCCACATGCAGTGCGGCCTCTCCTGGGCCCAGGTCAGCGCCAGCGCGGGGGCGGCAGGGCAGCCAGCCCGCGCTCCTGGCACCGGTTATCCAAGGCTGAGCCTTTGTCGGAGAGTGGGGGCTACTGCCAGGCCCTGCAAGTCTGAACCCCGACTCCCTGGGGAAACTGAGGCACAGGAGGCCACTGCAGGCCCTCCGTTCGCGCCACCCTGCTCCGGCGCCCATGCGAGAGCACACGCGTGTGCACGTGCCCTGGCAGGGAGGGACGATCCTCCCCTAAACGCCGTCCTGAAGGCAAACGCTCTTTAGGAAGAAGAAGGGCAGGAGAGCGGGCAGCCCCAGCGCCAGAGGGATGGCAGCAGCGGGTGCAGCACCCAGCCCAGGCACGCCGTCTCCTCCTCGCAGGCCCCGGCGGGTGCCGGTCCTCGTGCCGCGGGTGCTGCCAGCTCCGGCTCTGCCTCCCTTTCTCCTTGGATTGTTTTAATCCCGGCCTGGGCTGGGGGAGGACCAGCCGGAGGCGCGTTGAACTTTCGTCTGCATCCTTCACCCTCTTGCTTCACCCTCCCAAAATAGCAACGCCTGCCTGGAAACCTCCCCCGGGGCTGGCAGGGCCCTGGGTCCCCCAGGGCACCCCGAGTCTCCTGGAGCTTGCCCCCATCCCTGAGCCCAAGGGATGGGGTGACTGCGGGGTGCCTGTGCCCAGCCCCAGGGTGCACAGCCACCCCAGCCGGGACAGAGATCACCAAGCCCCTGGGCCGGGGCTGCCCTGGCCCCCCGGCCCCTCACAAGAAGGGCTTTTCTGGGGCCCTGCTGCCATGCCAAGGGCTCCGGCTTTAGCCGTCAGCTGACATTCCTCCGGGAGGCCCCTCCGGGCCTTCGCCTCGGGGCTTCCCGGCGGGAGCCGGTGTATCCTTACACGGCAGGGCCGCCCGCGGGGTCCCGCTCCCGGCTCCCACCCGGGAA